AAAAACGTACTCATTATAAAAAATATCGTAAATGTAATTTATTTTAAACTAAATTCTCATTTTGTTTATCTATTTTATGTTATCTCATTTTCTTTTTGTATAACAGTTGTTGTTGTTTTTTTTATTTTGTGTTTTATAAGCTAAATAATACAACAAATAGAATTTGAGAATGAAACATGTGTATATTCTGTATTAATTTATTAGTATCTGCATGGAGAATGAATCGAATGAGAATAATATTGAAAAAAAAGAGCGGTGTTATTTTTTTTATCTTTATGTCAATATACGATTTAGTAACATAGAAGAAGAAGAAGAAAAATATTTTTCACATAAACTTTATTATTGTAACTTGGAGATCATTTCTACATTTTGTAAGTACTTTTCGGGTAAATTGATATTCTAATAATAGATGTGATTATATTAACTAGATTAGACAAATATGCGATGATAAATTCCTATGTCTAAAAAAATTTAATTCAATGCTTTCAGAAATAAGCGTAGAAAGTTAATTCTATTAACGAATGATATAGAAATGAAGTGTATAGCTTAGATTTTAGTCAGATTGTGTAAGAATGATTCAACTAAATTCAATATACTATTTTTAGTCATAGGTATAAAATGTGTAGAATGCAAAAAATATTGTATAGAAAGTAATTGATAATCTTTTTTATTCCAGGTAGTTAGATGTAAATACAAAAACAAAATACTATCTTTCATCAAAATATAAGACAATATCATAATCAAAAGATAATCGAAACAAAGAACTCACACACGTGTATTTTATGTTTCTACCTTTATATTATCGTTTACTTGCTTTTTGTTTTTATTATTAATATTTCATCAGAGAAAGTCTTTCAAAAACAGAAAAATAATGTGCTGAAATAGCACAAAATATTTCGTTGGATTATAGTTCGTCTCCATATCATTTTTATTAATTTTTAGATGGCAGTGAATCGACAGCCAAGTATTCAAAAAAGTCGAAAATTAGTCGTTGTTGGTGATGGAATGTCTGGTAAAACCTGTCTTTTATTTGCATTTAAAAACGATGAATTTAGTTCTGATCATGTACCAACTATTTTCGATACATATGTAGCAGAAATTGAAGTTGATGGAAAAACTGTATATAAATATGAAATTATCTTTCGAAAAATTAGTTTTAATATTTTTGTTTACAGGTTGATTT